AAAGTTTGCAAAGTTAACATTGAGTAATATATGTTTCACACTTGTTAGAATTTATGAAAAGTTTGCAGGTCAGTATCTTGCCGAAGTAAAAGTTTTGTAACTATTATACCCGAGGATGCGTCCGAGGAGCCAACCGTTGTAAGGCTGAAACACGGTGTGGATCCCTCGCCTTAGCGTCCTCCTTGCATCGTGCTTTTTCTTCGAGCACGGTTCGTAAGTCGGATGACCTGGGTAGCTCGGTTTGTCTGGATCTGGTTTGGTGTGAATGTGAAGGCCAATACGTGCTTCCTTCAGTGTATGATCTTTCGGATCTCGTCCTCTCAGACCTGGAGTGGCGAGTCCTTGAAGATAATGAGTGAGTGTCGCCTGTCCTGAGGCTTCTGCTCTCTCCTTGGGAGGGTGTAGTATTCCTACTACGACTCTCTGAGTGGCGAGGGGGCGTCTTGTGCTTGCGCCCCTCTCCTGTCGCCACATCTTTAGTCTTCACCTGGCGTTTTAAAGCCTCCATGTCCGCCGCTATCTTTCGAATTAGTTCATCTTGTTCCTTCACGCGATCTTCCAGGGCTTGAGGATCAATCCTCCTCCTTCGCCTGTCAGGACTTTGAGAATGTCGAGGGCTGCTATTCCGCCTTCCCCTGTCACTCCTCCTGGAATTATGTTGTTGGGGCTCCAGATCTGCCATAGGAGGGATAGAGGGTAATCCTTCACGCCTTGCGCCCCCTTCCGGAGTTAGTCCGTCGACGGCGGACTGGGGCAAGTCTTCAATGTGTGCCATTAAATGAGAAAAGGAGAAGCTTAGTCAAGAGGTTTTTGTTCTTGTCTGTTTCGGAAATGCCGGAATTAATTGTACGGGGAGGAAATAATTCTCCTCGTGTAATCCTGTTGACCAAGTCCACGCTTCTCCGTACGACGTCGCTTTGTCACCTGAAAACACAAACGTGAGCTAGCCGGCGGGTGTGTGCCGGAAACCTCTCCGATGCCTAAGTCAGAAAACTTGACAAATAGACAAAGCTCTAAGTTCTCAGAAAGATTGTGTTCAATTACCTCCTTCAAGGTGATGCTTGTGGGCTTTTATAAGTTTTCCGTGGCACAATCCTAGTAGGACTTGTACTTCTCCATGCAGAGTCCTGCTAAGATTCATTCTCCTAAGGATAATGTTTATCCTTTTGCACCCTCCCCCACTGCTTAAACCAAGTGGGATGGTTTTCTTTATGGCCGAACTTCCATTTGACCGAAGTAAAATTGGCTATACCGAGCCACAGAGGGCCGAACTATCCTTAGCTCGGTCTTCTCCTCTAACTCCTTACTTCGGCTGCCCTGTTCAACCTTGGTGTGCTTGGACCGAAACAACGACTCTTGACCGGTATAACTCCAAGGCCGGTGCACCTCTAAAGCCGATGTAGACTTCAAGACCGGTCTAACTCCAAGCTGTTCCAGGACCGAAGTATATTTACAACCTCTCAACCGAAGTAACCTCATCTCTTTTGACCGGAGTAACTTTGCCGGAGTAACCTTGCTCTCCTGGGCCGGAGTACCCTTTACGGCCTTTTTTACTCAGTCCTTCGCGTTTTGGGCCTCAAAGCCCAACTCGCAGCTCGGCCCAATTTTTCCCAAAAATTACCCTCTCATTAATTGCACATCAATAAATACTTAGTCGGATTATATCTATTTGAAACTAAATAAATTAATTGTATAATTCGATCAAATGATTATTAATATTTAATTAACTAAAATTTTAATATAAATAATATGTTTAATAATTTATGTAAAATAAACAATTTAAATTATTAAAATGAGTTCATGATGAGTCTACCCCGCCTCTCTAATCCGATTGCATTCCAGAGAGGAGTCGCTTCATAAAAAATAGAAGGGTAAAATATAAATACACTAATTGAAGTTTGCTTAAAATACAATTTGCCGTAATTTAATTTTAGAAATTACATCTCACCTTTTGAAAATTTTAATTTCATTACCAATTTTATTAATAAATCATAGGGCAAATTATGTTGAGACTATTTGTATTTTGTTCTGTGTGTCTTTTTAATTCTTGTGATTTTAAATGGCTTAATTTTGATAATGAATTTATAATTTTATCTCAATTTAGTCAAATTAGTTACAATTATTAGTATTTTTTTAAAAAAAATATACATATAAGTGACACATGTCATATTTTTAGAGTTAAAATTATAGACTTTCTCAATTCAATGAGTTAATCTCAAGCAATTCAGTGATCAATTTTTGTAAAAAATACTAATAGCGTTATCAATTAGATCAAATTGATATAAAATCTAAAATTAAGAGTAAAAATTGAGTCAATTGAAAGTGTAGAAACAAAAATGACACAAAAGACAAAATGTAAGAATTATCAGTGTAATTTATCCTAAATCATAAAATTAATTAATATTTTTTAATGATATTTAAAATTTATTTTAATTAATAATTCATATAATTTTATCATTATATAAAAAAATAATTAAAAATTTTATTTTTCAATTATTTTATTAAATAAAATATTATGACAAAAGAATATTTATAACTTTTAAAATTACAAATAAAATTAATATTTTAAATAGTAAATTTTAAAAAATATATTTATAATTTAATAATAAAAAAAAAATTGAACTTCGGTGGGCCTAAATGGCCTTGTATTCCATTCCACTGCGAATTTTCTCCTCCGAAGCCAACGAATTAGGACTAGTCACATATTTTAACCAAGAAAAGCAAGGCAAAGCGCCAACGAAGCTTACCATTCCCAGTCCTCACCTCTCTCTGCGCAACCAGTAGTTGTTTCTTTCTTCTAGAACTCGGCACGCAGCCCTAAGTCTTACTTTTCCATACATATCTCACCTTCGCCCTCCACACGCCCTCTCTCTCTCTCCTTCTTCTCTAGCAGATCAATCCATTGACAACCGTTTCAAGCTCCATTACTCCTTTGTTTGCATTCAATCCTTATCTTCAAGCCTTTGAATGCGTGACAATCGTCATGTATATAACCACCTATTCCTCAGCTGCGCTTCGCAGAGCGTCACGGACTCGACCTTCTTCTTTCTCCTCATCTTTCTCTTCTCTCTCTAAACCAGTCTATTCTTCCTCTTCTTCGCCTGTTCTGTCCTCTCCTTCTATTTCCAATCAGTGCCGATCTTTCAGCTTCTCCTCCGCGTTTCGCAACCTCCGCTGCTCTGTTCCGCGGTGGAGTCACGGCGTCGATTGGAACTCCCCCGCCAGTCTTACTGCTCAGATCAGGACTGCTTCTCCTCTTATCGGTCGCTTCGAGCGCAAGATCGCCACCATGGGTATTTTTTTGGTGATTTTGATACGATTTATTCTTGGATTGTTCTGTTTGTGATTCTGTTTTCTGATGTGGTTTCGATTGATCTGGTTGTTGAACAAATGGAAATCAAATGCTATTTTTTTTTTTTAATGGGGATCGCTAGAGCTTAGATGTTAGTTTTCGCGGGTGTTGCGATTGATGGAAAATATATTATTAATATTTGAATTTTTGGCACATGATGTAGGCTGGATTGGGGGTTTTGTTGAGTGAAGAAAAGAAATTGAGAGAAAATAAAATCTCTCATCACTTGTTGAATGATTAAAGAGATGAGAGAACTATTGAGAAAATGATGAGAAAGAGCAATACTTTAAAACTTAAGTTTATTGACACCAAAATTGCTCTTTATAATTTTTTTTACAATTATTCTAATACAAAATAAATAAAAATTTATGACATGTGTCCTTTTTATTTATTTATTTATTATTCATATGTTGATAATTAGTGCATATGCCAAAGGTTTAATGTGTACTAACTGGTTGTTGTTGTTGCTGTTTTTTTTTTTTTTTTTTTTTTTCGGGGAAAAATTTGCTGTTTTTTTTTTTTTTTTTGTTTTTTTGTTTTTTGTTTTTTTCGGTGACAAATCACAATCATTTATTTTCTTTTTTCAAACTCATTTATGTTATTTTTCACTTTGCTATCCAATCGGGGCCTAAATGGTGCATTGATAATTTTGTTATACAAGAGATGAATAGTTTTTTGATTTTTTTTTGGTGGATTTGGATTATATAAGCCCAGTAGCAGTGATTTGGTTTTAAATATTTGTCAGAAACAAAGGAATACATTACTTAACATGGACTAAAGTTTATCATAGTTTTGTGCTGAATTTTCATGTTTTTTCTTTTTCTAGTTGCTTCAAAGTTATTGTACTCAAAGATTTTGGATTTTGAATTAGGTTATAATGGTACTGGTGCAAACCATTTTAGGTGGTATTTGATCTCATTTTCCTGCTAACCATTGGTTTTTTTTGTTTTGGTTCGAATGAGTCACTTTTAGAAGTTGTGATCGGCTATATGAATGCAATTTTTATGTTTTTACTGTATGTGTTCAGCATCTGAGAATGCTTTCAAAGGAATTCTGACCAGTCTTCCCAAGGCAGGAGGTGGTGAGTTTGGAAAGTTCTATAGCCTACCAGCACTGAATGATCCAAGGATTGGTAAGTTTCTTACTATCTTTTTAAGGTTTTGATCAATATAATATTTTTGTTTGGTTCCTTTGCTGATATTCACTGCATGAATAATATAAGTTGCTCATAAAAGGGGAAAAAAAAAATGAAAAAAAGGAAAAGAAAGAAAGAATAAGTAAATCTATACTATACTATATATTAAGCAAAAGAGAGTTTTTAACCCCAAGTCTTGTGGGAGCTCCAATCTCCCAATCTAAGGGTATGTTTGTTTTGTGTTTGAGAGATGTGTTTTAGAGATAAAAAGTACGAAAAGTTGTTTGGTTTGATTTTTTTCAAAAGATGTTTTGGAAAATTATTTTGAGAGAGAGTTTTGGAAAAAGTGATTGATTTGATGTGTGTGAGAGAGAGATTTGTTTGGAAAACTTGTTTGGTTTACAAGTTTTGAGAAATTTTTTTAGAAAAATTTGTTTGGTTTGATTACTTTTAAAAACTTATTTGTAGAGAAAATTTCCCAAAATTTTTTCAGAAATACAAACCAAACGAACCCTAAATTTCCTGTTTTTTTGATTTAAAAAAAAAAAAAAACTCTTAGCATTTATTAACTTCTCCTAACCCCCAAGTCTTACCCTCGCGATAACATTTTAATGCATTAAGAACAAGCATAAAAGAAATTCTTTGAAATCCAACACATATGAATTTCTTGAAAAGTCCCAACACATATGATTATTATCCCTCATAATAACACTTTAATGCATTAAGAACAAGCATAAAAAAAATTTCTTGAAAAGTCCAACACATATGATTATTATCAAAATATTAAACTTTAATATAATATAATATAAAAAAAGACATTTAATTCCTTAAAAAGTCTAACACATATGATTATTATCAAAATATTAAACTTTAATATAATATAAAAAAGAAAAAAAAGAAGGCATTTAAAAAAAAAGAAAAAAGAAGACATTTAAAAATCGAAATTCATATATATAGATAATGGTAAACACAAAAATGCAAATCTCTCTCTTTTTTCTTTTTCTTTTTTTCGTTTATCAAAATGGCCGTTGCTGTTAAAATATTTTTTTTACTTTCCCCCTTGTCACCTAAATCAGCCAAAATCAAACATAAAATTTTTATTTGATAAAATAACCAATATATATATATATATATATCTATACTATATATTAAGCAAAAGAAGGTTTTTAACCCCCAAGGCCTGTGGGAGCTTCAATATCCCAATCTGAATTTTCTAAATTTTTTATTTTATATAAAAAAAAAACTCAGAATTTATTGATTTGGTCAAAATCCTCTGATCAGCATTTATTAATTTTTTTTAATCCACATGTCTTTCCACATACCTGCATTTATTGATCTGGTCAAAATCCCCTGATCAATATTTAAAATCTCCTTATATAAATAATTATAGATACAATTCGGGTATAGTTACTGTAGTACCCTTTTCAACGTTTTCCACACATTATGGTTAGTGATAGGATTGTTAAATTATTTTTATAAAAAATCTTAAAAAACATAATTTATATATAGTGATAAATTATTAAATTATTTTTATAAAAAATCTTAAAAAACATAATTTATATATTAAAAAAATTCTAAAGCAAATATAAATATCTATAGTTATCCCGTGCATAGCACAGGTGATAGGTTAGTTACCTTTTATTCTAAAGTCAGTTGCCAACTTGCCATGTTGCATAAGATTTTATTTTTATTTGAAATGATTTTTTCTTTCCCTGTTTCATTGTAGTTTTATGTATAATTTTGAGCCATTTTTGGTATTGTTTCTGGATTCCCAACTAAAATTGATTATATTTATATAATAAGTCATAAGATTTATATAGAGCAATGAAATCTTTAATTAAATATACTTTTTAAGACACTTTCTCACAGTGTCTGGGTTATGAGGTCTTCTTTTTGTTGCACAAATGACTTACCAAACAATTGATTGTTGCCCCTGTATCCATAACAGATAAGCTGCCGTACTCTATTAGGATCCTTCTCGAATCAGCAATTCGTAATTGTGACAACTTCCAAGTTACCAAGGATGATGTTGAGAAGATAATCGATTGGGAAAACACTTCTCCAAAGCAAGTAGAAATTCCCTTCAAGCCTGCTCGTGTTCTCCTTCAGGTATTGGTCAACGATATCCCACATTGGCACATAGTGTTATCAGACATGTATTCTGGTTCTAAACTAAAGCTTCTGTTCTGTGTCAGGATTTTACTGGTGTTCCAGCTGTGGTCGACCTTGCTTGTATGCGTGATGCCATGAACAAGCTTGGCAGTGATTCTAACAAGATCAATCCTTTGGTGAGTGTCATTCTCATCAACTGCCTTTGTATTGTTCCCTAAGAATTAGTTATATTGAGTTCCTTCTGAAGATTTATCCCATGCACCCCCGCCCTTCTAATCCCAGCAGTGGTCTAGTACTACCAGTGTGGGTCAGGAACATACCGAATTGAGATCAGTAACTTGTAGGTCATGTTTTTACTGAATCCTTTTCTCTACTGCATCATGTGAGATAACAAGCACTGAACAATTTTTTGGTGATTACATCATGATTTGTGTAATATAATATGGTTGAAGTTGAACATTTTCTTTCCAGATCACAATTTCTGTGGGAACCCTAGAAAACTCCATAAAACATAACCTTATTAGAATGATTTAGTGTCATACATACATCATTCATTTCAAGCTGCATTCCAAACTATCATGATCTGTCTCATTGGCATTTGTATTGAGCTATTAATTACCTTTTTTGTTCTTCCAATGATCTGTTTGTGTATATCCTGCATGCAGGTTCCTGTTGATCTTGTCATTGATCATTCAGTTCAAGTTGACGTCACTAGATCAGAAAATGCAGTTCAGGCAAATATGGAGCTTGAACTCCAAAGGAACAAGGAGAGATTTGCTTTTCTGAAATGGGGGTCGAGTGCTTTTCACAACATGCTTGTTGTTCCTCCAGGTTCTGGTATTGTTCATCAGGTATGGGAGTTAACATAGCTGCTTTGGCAAATTATAGTGTTTCAATATATTGAATTGCTTATCTATCTTTTTCTTCTTTTTTTGTTTTTGTTTTTGTTTTTCATGCAATTTTCTTTAAACACTTCCAGCTTTCCTTTTCAGGCTTTGTTTTTTTTTAAAAAAAGAAAACTTTTAAATTTTAATTCTTGTACAAAGTGAAGCAAGCTTTGATAATTTCAGTTGGCTTACTCTTTTAAGTTTTTCCTTTTCAGGCTTAGTTAATTTTTAGAGTGAAGTGAGTTTGTTAATTTGTTAAATTTTCTTGTATATAATATGATGTTACTAAGTAGATTGTCATGATGAACATTCAGGTTAATCTTGAATATCTTGGAAGGGTTGTTTTTAACTCTGATGGCATGCTCTATCCCGATAGTGTGGTTGGAACTGATTCCCACACTACTATGATAGATGGGTTAGGAGTTGCTGGTTGGGGAGTTGGAGGTATTGAAGCAGAGGCAGTGATGCTTGGTCAGGTAAATAATGCACTTGATGTGATGAAACTACAGGAAGGTTTTTCCCAGACCTATGATTGAATGTTGTATTTGTTTTGTTTTCTGAAAAGCATTATTTCATCATAACTACTTCGTTTATGGTGATTGTGCCTGTTTTGTTAGTACACTCATTTTCTTGCTTGTATGCTATTGAAGCGCCGGATGAGGCATCACCCCATCACCCCATGACATATGCTTATTATGGTCAATATTGCAGCTTCTGGATGCAGAAGCTTTAAGTTGTATTGTCCTGCATTCTGTATTGCATATAACGGAACTTAATTATCATATTCTCTACTTTAGTATTATTTCTTGGCCATGCCTCTTCCAATGGGATTGGGCCAGGGAATTTTTTTAAGCCTGGCTGGGGGTTCAGTATAGGGGACCTACTGTGATGCAAAGTTTTTAAAGGCGAATGTGTAACTCGAGATGTTTTACCCCTCATGAGGCGAGGCGTAAGCCTTAAGACATTGGTTCTGTTTGGTGTAGCTGTTAAAATAGATTATAGATTATAGCTTAACAGATTATAGATTATGACTTTAATCAGAAGCTGTTAATCTGTTTGGTATAGCTGTTGGATTATAGATTTAAGTTGCTGAGTAGTGTTTGTTAAATAAGCTGTGTGTAGCTTTTTCAATTAATTTTTATTTTTTATTATTCATTATTTGTCTACATTTTTCATAAAAAATAATAATAATATTTTATAGTCCATTTGGGTCTTTTTCTATTTTTAAAAAAATAAAAAATAAAAAAATCTAAGACTATAACCGTGAATTAACATGTCCACAGCAGAAGCTGATAATCAGAAGTAAGGGGTGAGTAGCTTCTCAGAATAAACTTTTTTGACTTAAAATAAGTTATTAGAATTAGAAGCTGTTTGAAATAAGTTTAACCAAACAGTCCAAAATAACTTTTTAAAAGCCAGAAGCCATAAGCTGGCTCAAAAAAGCCCCACCAAACACCCAGGCGTAAGCATTTTGAATTTTAAATTTTAATATTTAGGCCTCGTTTGGGAACAGGCTATTTTAGTAACTTTTTGGCTTTTTACGAAAAGATGTGCAGAAAAATAGAGAGGTGATGTGACTAGTTTTAGTTGACTTTTTTACTTTTTGGCTAAAATAGCCACTTCCCAAATGAGGCCTTAGTGAATAAATTAAATATTTTAACATAGTAAAAATAAATAAATATATAAAGGTGTAAATACTTTTCTCCTTAAGGTATTGAATATTTCATTGCAAAAAATGAAATTTTTTTTCATTGAAAGTGAAATTAATATCCTTAGGTCTCGTTTGGGAACCCTCCATTTTAGTAAAAAAGCCAAAAAAGTTACTAAATTAGCCAAAAAGCCAACAACCCATACAAAAAAGTCAAAGATTCTCTTTTCTCTCTACTTTTTGCACATCTTTTCGTTAAAAGTCAAAAAGTCATCCCAAACATACTAGTTTTTTTTAGCTCATATTTTAGCCAAATAGCCAAAAAATTACTAAATTAGCCTGTTCCCAAACGAGGCCTTAGTTTTAGTGATTGAGCTTCTCACTTGAGAATTAATTGTATTTTTTCTTGATTGGTCATTTACTTAATTTTTCTTTTACAATTTGCAAAATGGTGGTTTTTTTATTTTTATTTTTATTTTTTGCTTTTTTATGTTTAAACAATTTGCTAGACTAAGTTTAACAAAAGCCTAAGGCGACCTCTTCATATGCATACTTCTCATATGCTTATGCGCAAAAGGTGTATAAGACGCACTCATGGCACATGTCTCAAGGTGTTATGCGCTAGCCTTTGGGGAGTAAAGCCTAAAAATCAAAGCCTTGATGCACTTGAGCCTCGAGGCGAGGCGAGCATTGAGGCGAGCCTCAGTAAAGCCTTTTAAAACTTTGCTGGGATGTTATTTCTATATTAAGCTCGTTTCTTCTACATTTGTGCACCTTTGCATGTACTTTTCTTGTATATACATATTACACGTTTAAATAAGAATTATTTAATCACATGATTAACTATGGCCCCGTTTGGTAGAGTTGTGGAAAAGTGATTATAGATTATAGCTTAACAGATTATAATTTATAGCTGTGAATATAAGCTGTTAACCTGTTTGGTGTAGCTGTGGGAGTATGAATTTAAGCAACAGAGTAGTGTTTGGTTGATAAGCTGTAAAATAATTTTTTGCTGTGTAATTGTCATTTTTGCTCTTATATGATATAAAAATGATTATTTTGTTATTTTTTCAGTTTTAATTTTAAAAAAATTATTTCATTAATAAAAGTTAATATAATTAGTATTACATAAATTATTATTTTCATTTTTTCATTATAAATTGATTAGTATAAAATTATTTCATTTTTTCATTATAAATTAATTAATGTCAATTAATGGCTTATTTTCATTTTTTCATTATAAATCAATTAGTATAAAATTGTTTTATTATAAATTGATTAGTGTCAATTAATGGCTTATTTTCATTTTTTTGTTATAGATTATTATTTCCATTCTTTCATTATAAATTAATTAGTATAAAATTATTTTATTTTTTCATTATAAATTAATTTGTGTCAATTAATGGCTTATTTTCATTTTTTCATTATAGATTATTATAAATTAATGGCTTATTTAATGGCTTAATAAATTAATTTGTGTCAATTTGTGTCTCACACACGCGCACACGCCCCCAAAAAAAAAAAAAAAAAAACTGAAATCCCTAGCTTTGATAGGCACAGCGGCGGCAACGAACCGGCGCTAGGGTTTGAGATAGCCTCGCATGGCTAATTGCGATGGGGGATGGGGGACGACGATGGAGGCACAGAGAGAGAGAGAGAGAGAGAGAGAGAGCAACAACAACGTAAATCGCGACGACGGCGTTGGTTTAGATCGCGATGGCGACGAACCAACGCCAGAGAGAGAGAGAGAGAGAGAGAGAGAGAGAGCGCCGAACCAAGGCTTCGTGATGAACCAACTCCGGAGAGAGGGAGACAGAGAGAGAACATCGCGACAAACCAAGGCTTCGCGATGAACCAACATCGAAGAGAGAGAGACCGAGAGAGAACAACGCGACAAAACAACGCCGGAGAGAGAGAGAGAGGGAGAGATAGAGAGAGAATAGCTTGAAATCTTAGCCAGAAATAGTTGCCGGAAATTGCCTCTCACGCTTTCTCTTCCTCTGTGTGGACGTGAACAGTGTTTCATTGTCAAGTTTATATAGTGGTATTTTGGTTATTTTTGAATTTTTGAAGGGGCATTTAAGTCATTTCGCCCTTTCACAACGAGCTGCACGCATAAGCTAAAAGAAAAAGCACCTCTGAGGCAGCTTACAACTTTTAGCTCAAAATCAATTAATTTAAGTTATAATCTATCTCTCATAAGCTCAACCAAACACTCCAAAATGACTTATTTTAAGCCAAAAGCTGATTTGAGCTGCGTATAAGCTGTGCCAAACAGGCACTATATCTGGATTAGATGTAGGTTGGGGTGGTATATTCTGAAACCTGAAATGTGTGTTAATGTTAATATGATGCTATGCTGCCTTTTAATCTTGTCAAAGTCAGGCTTTTCCTTCATCCTCTCCCTTCTTCCAAGTTTTTGAAATCCACCCATTGCCATTCACAATCCTGAAAGGAACACATTTGAGCCTTTTGTTTTCATCAGATGCTTTTTAGTTTTTTTGCTATGGCCTCCCTCATACTTTAATAAAATAATGTAATGTAGGGACTCTGTGAGCCCATTTAACTGTTTAGACTAACTTCTAATTGCACGAGGTTTTTTGAACATATGAGTCATGCAGCTTTTATACTGCTTTTGAAAATTAGTGCATTTAAGAGTTCTGCATTTTGGTTTTCTAATGCTATATTTTTCACAATGACAGCCAATGAGTATGGTGTTACCTGGTGTGGTTGGATTCAAGTTGTCTGGAAAATTAAACGATGGTGTCACAGCTACTGATTTGGTTTTAACTGTGACCCAAATGCTAAGGAAGCATGGTGTAGTTGGCAAATTTGTTGAGTTCTATGGTAATAAAAATTTAAGCCTTAGTAATTTTCAACTGCCATGATTTTGTCCACAACAGGTCCTAACTCACTAATATGTCCTTCATGTAGGAGAAGGCGTGGGTAAAATATCATTAGCTGACAGGGCCACTATTGCCAATATGTCTCCAGAGTATGGTGCAACAATGGGGTTCTTTCCTGTTGACAAGGTTACTTTGCAATATCTGAAATTGACTGGAAGAAGTGATGAAACTGTAAGTATTTTCAACCTTCATGCGTGTGCATAAATCTAATGATCATGATGTTTGATGTATGTCTCATCTTATTGCTTTTATTTAAATTTTCACGAGGTTGTACTTATTTGTGTTAAAATTCAGGTGGCAATGATTGAAGCATATTTGCGTGCAAATAACATGTTTGTTGACTATAATGAGGTAAGACTTTCTGTCTTTCTCTTCTCATAATTTACTCCTTTAAGTTCCATTTGGGATATAACTATTTGCCCCTAATTTCAGCCTCAACAACAAAGAGCTTACTCATCCTATATAGAGCTAGACCTTGCCAATGTTGAACCCTGTGTTTCTGGTCCAAAAAGGTGCGTGCTTAATGCTTCATCACACTCTCACTTATTGGCGGTGACAAATTTTGTTTAGTGTAGATCTAACTGTACTTGCTTTTATTGCCAGACCTCACGATCGGGTTCCTTTGAAAGAAATGAAGGCTGATTGGCACTCTTGTCTAGATAACAAAGTTGGATTCAAGGTGACTTTTTGAACCTAAAGAGATGTTGACTTCTTATCATATTGTTGCGTGATTAACCTACTTGTTTTTTTATGTCCGAGCAGTGCTGTTTTGAATTATTTTAGCAAGTTAGATTTTTCTTTTCTTCAAATTTTTTAATGCAAATATTTTCTTACCTTAACAAACTTGAATCAAAGGTTTCATTAATTGTATGTAAGACATTTAGTGATGATAGTATGCTAAAATATCATTCATTAACAAGGAAATATCAGATAACTTTAGGCTTGTAAAGTTGAATTTGTATATTGGTTGTGTTGCCAGCCGTGTCTAATGATAAATCCTGAAGATGAGTGTTCTTAATGTCAATTATGATATAGGGCTTTGCTGTACCAAAAGAAGCTCAAGACAAGGTGGCAAAATTTTCGTTCCATGGACAGCCTGCAGAGCTTAAGCATGGTAGTGTTGTGATTGCTGCTATCACCAGCTGCACAAATACATCAAACCCTAGTGTCATGCTTGGGGCTGGCCTTGTTGCGAAAAAGGCTTGTGAACTGGGTTTGCAGGTTAGCTATGACCTAACGACTTATGTCGTAGGATCTGGTGTTTATTTTTTTATTTATTCCCCTATTTCTTTTCATGCTCAATTCTGATTGGATTTACCTCTTCTGTGAAATGATATTATTGGGCTTTGATATTTGCTTCTCACATTTGCTTAAATGATAATTTGCCAGGTCAAGCCTTGGGTGAAAACAAGCCTTGCCCCTGGTTCTGGCGTTGTTACAAAATATTTACTTAAAAGGTGTTGCTTGTTAATTTTTTACAGATTAAGTTGTATTATTTTTTTTAAATTTAATTTGATGTTCTGTTTGCCAATGAGATAAAAAGAAATTATGATTTTGTTTTTGCCTGATGCAGTGGGCTGCAGAAATATTTCAATGAGCAGGGCTTCCATATTGTTGGATATGGCTGCACAACTTGTATTGGAAATTCTGGGGACTTGGATGAATCAGTTGCTTCAGCAATATCAGAAAATGGTAGTGTTGCATTTTAGTACTTTGAGTTTGTAAATAAAATTGAGCATTCTCACTGCCGGCTTCTCACTTATTGCAGGATTATCATATTGACTGGCAAATGCCCATCTAATTTATGTGTGGTCTTCTTTCACAGACATTGTTGCAGCTGCGGTTCTTTCTGGGAACCGGAATTTTGAGGGTCGTGTTCATGCCCTGACAAGAGCTAACTATCTTGCTTCACCTCCTTTGGTGGTTGCTTATGCCCTTGCTGGCACTGTAAGTAACTAAAACAAAATATTCCAAGTTTTTGTGTTTCTTTGTTGCATGTTTTGAGAAATCTATTGCAAGTGGGAATAGGTGAAAGTAGTCAAAGCTGAAGAATTCTCTATTCTACACAATTTAAATAGATTCTGAGGATGGATGCTTGTCACCGTGGGAATTCACCCACATTCACCAAGCATTACCATCAACTTGAGATGGATGTTCTCACAGTTTTTCCTAGTCTTTACACCTATGGGCTTCGCAGCCTATAATTGCCTTCAAGTTGTCTGATATTGTAATCTTAGGGTGTAAAGCATATTAAATACCATTACTAAGTCCAGTTCCATACGAAAGAATCTTTGTGCCTCACCACAATGCTATATTCATACTTCATCTATCCTCTCAACAAGACCCACTTTCCTGTGGGAGAAGATCCTCTTCTATCTGGTCCATCTTCATTATATGTGCATACCTTCTAGCTATGGTTAACTAGCTATAAAATACTACTGTGGAAGCCCATTTTGTAACATTATCAAAATTTTAAATTGGGTAAGTTTGCTAGATATTTGGCTTTCATTGGTGTCCCAGTTTGCACTTGTAGCCACAGCCACATGTAAGGAGCCATATAGAGCTTGTCTTGGACATTACCAATCAATTCATCCAACAGTGTCAATTTTGCAGGAGACAACATGCACTTGACAATGCAATATGACCAAGAGACACTATCAATAGGCAACATTAGCTTAAGGAAGAAACATTCTATAATGCTTAAGGAGGCATAATTTGGAAGGACAAGGAATTAGAAAATGCAATCTGTGTCCGATGTGCAGGAATGATAGCTGATTGCATGATCAATGTATTTAATGTGTTCAATGTTCTCCTCAATATAACTGAAGCTACTATATCCAGTGGTTTGTGTACAGTTCTTGACAAGAAGTACTTAAATTTGGCGTCCTGGGGTTGGTCAGCTCATATAATAACTTCTCCAAAAACAGATGGAAGTGCTGTCCACTTTTTCCTACTTGTTTGTATTGGACTTGGTTAATATAATTTATTTGGTCAAATTAACCTGCCTTTCTCTTTATTGCGCGGATGTGGAGGTTAAATTGTATAATTTTATGGACACCCGTTGGGCATTTCTTACTTTGTCATGTGATAACCCTTCATGGTGCCGGTTTTGACTCTTTGCCTAAGCTTATGATGGTATAATTTTTTTCTTAATAGGTTGACATTGACTTTGATAAGGAGCCGATTGGAGTTGGGAAGGATGGCAAGAATGTCTATTTCAGGGATATCTGGCCTTCTACAGAAGAAATTGCAGAGGTACATAGCAATGAGCTTGTAGATGTTTGAGCTAAGTTATGTTATTATAAACTAACTTGGGCTGGAATGCTGTGTAGGTTGTTCAAACCAGTGTGTTGCCTGATATGTTCAAGAGTACATATGAGGCTATCACTACGGGAAATCCCATGTGGAATCAGCTATCAATTCCAGAATCCAAACTGTACTCATGGGACCCTAATTCTACCTACATTCATGAGCCACCATATTTCAAGAACATGACTATGGATCCTCCAGGGCCAAGTGGAGTGAAGGATGCGTACTGCATACTGAATTTTGGTGATAGTATTACAACAGATCACATTTCCCCGGCAGGAAGCATTCACAAGGATAGTCCTGCCGCCAAGTTCCTCCTTGAGCGTGGGGTGGAACGCAAGGACTTCAATTCTTATGGTAGCCGTCGGGGTAATGATGAAGTGATGGCAAGAGGAACTTTTGCAAATATCCGTATTGTTAACAAGCTATTAAATGGGGAGGTTGGCCCAAAGACAATTCATATTCCTACAGGGGAGAAACTTTATGTCTTTGATGCAGCAACGGTGAGTTTCATAATTCAACATCTTATTATTATATATATTTTTGCACTTATGTTCTTATCTTGCCTATTCATCCTATGTCCTATGCCTGGGGTGATTTACTAGTTCTCTTTAATAAGATTGAACTCTTAGTACTATTTTAAGCCAGGCAAATGAACATTTGTCAGCAACGTTGTGTAAAACAACAGAATTCGTTGATGGAAGCTGAAAGATTTGAGACGTTGTCATAATACGAGCCCTCTTTACATCTATAGTATTTTGTCAATTTTGCTCAATCAATCTGATTACATGCTTTGTCAATGTGAACCGGAAGCATTATTATTTTCATCATAGGAGTTTGTAGCTGTTTGTTTCTTAACCTCCCTTAGTGTGACATTTTCATTATATGAACATCAAACTCATTTTATGTAATTTTAATTTAGTGAGTTGGAAGTATTTCCCTGCAAACTACTGACTTGTAAGAATGATTGACTCATAACATGTCACTAACTGCAGACAGTCACAATGCCCTTCCAGAATTTACTAGTCATTACTAATTTTTGGGTTCTATCATTTCCCCTCCCCTTCTTCAGAGGTACAAAGCTGCCGGACAGGATACTATTGTCTTGGCTGGAGCAGAGTACGGAAGTGGGAGCTCGCGCGACTGGGCTGCTAAAGGTCCAATGTTGCTGGTGAGTCTTTGTATATGGGAATTCACTAGTTCTCACATCCTCTTCTATTTGGGCTTTATCTTGTTTTGTCTTCTGTCCTTTTTGGTAAACTATTGGCATGTAACAGGGAGTCAAGGCAGTGATTGCAAAAAGTTTTGAGAGGATCCACCGCAGTAATTTGGTAGGAATGGGAATTATTCCACTCTGTTTCAAGGCTGGGGAGGATGCAGACTCACTTGGATTGACAGGTCACGAGCGGTATACCATTGACCTCGCAAGCAAAATTAGTGAGATTAAGCCTGGTCAAGATGTTACTGTCAAGACTGACACCGGAAAATCTTTTACCTGCACTGCTCGCTTTGATACTGAGGTACTTCTCTTTTTTAAAGTTTTGTTTTCATGCTGTGGAATGGTAGTGTGGCATGTGATTCTTATTAGAAAAACATAAAAAAGAGAATCTGTTATAGGATTTGTTCATCGCATGTTTGGAAAGCAAGAATATTGATGTGTTTCATAGAATCAAGTTGTCTACTGACGACGGTCGATTTTGATGGAAATCATTGTCTAGAATACATATTAATGTAATCAACGTATTTGGGCAATACCAGTTTGATGACAAAAAAAAAAAAAATAAACGAAAATATTTTTCTACAGTTGTTTTAAAAGTTTCACACTTTCATAAACTATGATGTATTGCAGTTGAGTTTTTCATTGCTGTAAATTTCTTGAACCACACACTAGTTTTTGTATTCCCTGAAGCGATACATGAAATAAAGTATTATAAATGAAATATATATATATATATATATATATGAATTAAGTACTAGACAATACTGTCAACATTCCACCTGTGCGTGTTGGTTTTTTCTTTTTTCTTGGGTCTATTGGGAAGAAGTTTTTGCAAGCATAAGCTCTGAATTAATACTGGACTACCCTTTAATTGCATTTACAGGTGGAGTTGGCTTATTTCAACCATGGAGGCATACTTCCTTACGTTATTCGGCAACTTGCTAAGCAGTAATTGATTGATTTTGAGTCAGCAGCCATGCTCTCCTCCCGTTGAGCTCTTTCAATTCCAACACGCGAGAAGGGAATAAAGTTTCTGAGATTCAAATTTCTTCCAGGTAAAAGGCAAGTTAGCTTGCCAACAAAAGGAAGAACAATTTTTTAATAATATGTCTTCCCTATGTACTATAAGAGGCTCTTCTACTTTGCTCTAGTGTTTTTGGCTTGTATTTTGGCTTTCTTTTTGGTCATATCCTTCACTACTACTAAGCTACGTATCATACTGATGAATACCAGTGAAGATGTTAATTTACCCTTAAGAAGATTTGTTCTCTCCTATGAGGTCTGGCTTATACTCTCTGACATAGGTTTATTAATTGTGATTTTAACTTTGTTGCCCCTATGCCTTTGATACGTGTTGCTTTGTGAGGCAGACATCCATGTAACCTTTGTCCTATTTAATTTGAGGAAAAAGTACTAATATTAAAAAAAATAAAAAAATTCACAATTTAGAGTTTTATAATTGTACCAATAATAATATAATAAATTATGTGTCCATTTACAAATTTAATCATGTAAAATTCAATTCAATTATTATGGATGAATTGTAAGATATAAATTATAGATTTTTAGCATTTCAATGAGAAAACACCAACGAAATAAATTTAATGGGTTAATTGTACTTAGCTTAATCTAACTGAAGTTTCTTCGATTTCAATGGTGACAATCAACCTTTCACATTTTAAGTGGAGGCCAAGTTTGGGATATTTAAAAAAAATCAAAAAGTTACTTAAAAAGTTAATACTATTCATCAAAAGTCAATAATTACGGCTGCACAATTCTCAATTTTAATTTTCTTCTACAAATTAATTTTTATAATTTTTTATTATATATTTTTTCATAAAAAGTCGAAAAGTTAATTCAAATATTCATATTTTTTTCCTCAATTTTTTAGTCTAAAAAGACAAAAAGTACATTTATTTACGATACTCTAAACAACTCTGAAGTTATAATTTCACTATTTCATTCATCTACATTTTAAGTTAAGTTCTAATTTCACTATTTCATTCATCTATCATTAATACGGTTAACAAAAATTAAAGGTGTATGAATCAAAGTGAGCGTTAGTAAAAGTGTGAGGATCAAAGTAAAATTTTGAAAAAAAAATGTAGAGGTGCTGATGAGATAAAAAAAAAAAAGTAACGGTTAACTTGTATGATAATTTTAGTTAACCCTATTAAGCCTTGCTTGGGAAAGATTAAAATGACTAAAAAAGTATAAAAAAATAAAATAGGCTAATCTAATAAATAAAGATAAAATGTCACATTTAATTATAATTATTTTTTTCCCTCATAAGTATCACATTCAAACTGAAAAGTTAATAGTTTTTTTTTAAGCAAGGTTAAGTTAGGTTAAATTAGTTAAAAAGTTAGGTTGAATTAATAAAAAAAACAAAAAGTTAAGTTAAATTAACTCTTTCCAAATGAAGGCTAACATTAACATTACAACTTGACAGTATTAAGAATTAATTGTTATAATTAAAAGTGAACGGACCAAGTAGAATTATCATGAAAGTGCACAATGCAAAATATAGTAACCCAATTTTTAATTAGAAAAGGGACATTGGCACACCATTTATTTATTTTTGGTAAGAATGTTATATAAAAGTAGAGTTTTCCTTGATGAAATTATCTCACATATGTTGGCCAATTTTGTCAACCGGGTTAAAAATCAATTATTTGGATTTTTAACTTTTTGAGTCATCATCTTTTTATTTTTTTTCACATTTTTATATTAAAAAAAAAAAAAACTTGACTTTTGAAAAAGGGAAAAACTATTTTGGGTAATTGGAATAGTGCTTTACATCATTTATCAATTTACATCTTCTATGTTATTATTTTTTATGTGATGTTATTTTTTTAACAACAATATCACAAATCCACTCTTATCAATTTAGAATTTACTTAAAAGAAGAAAGCAATGATTCTGATTCATTTTATATGTGGATTCTACACTTTATTAATTCAATTTTTACCACACAAACACATTCGGGGTAAATTTGGGACCTGTAAGGGTGGATTCTTAGCATGTTTCTATTTTTTATGAATACCCTTAAGATACTTGTAAAGAAATTTAAAATCTGTACAAATAATCCATGAAAATATGTGTAACAAATAATACACAATCAATTCAAGCATTATTTACCAATGTCGTTAGACACTTGTTAACTAATAAATCTCTAAGAAAATATGATCGTCATAAACAGGGCTGACTCTGTATTTTTCGGGGCCCAAAGCAAATTTCTAATACGATACCTTTTATACATACATACATGCATACATACATACATACATATATATATATATATATATATCCCAAAGCAGAACTCTAATATGAATCGATTTTTAAATCATTTTTTGACAGAATCGGACTAGTTGGTAATTCAAATTTTATTTATTTTTTAGACTTTCACATTTTTAATTGTAAAACTACTAATCAAGTTTGTTTTATCCAATTTATCAATCAAACTCATTCAACTACTTCACTGATTGTATGATTTAATCAATTTTAAATTTGAAACCTTTTTTTCCCCTAAACAATTGTATGTAATAACTATAATTAATACAAAGTGTCTAAGATGCCCTTTTTTCCCCACCCCCTTTGACCCACTCTCTCTCTCATCGGTTGGATTTTATTTTATTTTATTTTTTTTCCCCTTGTCCTCCAATCACCACCCGCCACGTGTGTGTGAGGTGGTAGGGTAGTGATTGGAGGTTCCATTTTGTTGGTCCACATTTCCGTTTTAGTCTATCCTAAAATGTTTGTCCCCATTCCAGATTGAGATACTAAATTTTGTTAGATTTCCAAAATTACCCCTTATAACTCATTATAAACACATTTCAAAATTCAAATAGAAGGGCAATAATGGAAAAAATATTTCAAAATTTGAATTAAAATGTAATGATTACAGGTCTCCTTAATAAGTAAGATTTTTTATAATGGACAAACAAATTGAGACACAAAGAGCACAATTTATACATTTGAAAAATAACCATCAATTAATTTGTAATTCATCATGTTAATAAGTTTTTTTTAAGGGCAAGCAAATGTAATAGTAATAATAATAACAAAACTTATTTAATATGTTTTCAAATTTTTTGGCCTTTTTTTCAATCAATTACCGAGAGTCCAAAACGGTACTTGTGCCCAAAACTGGCACTGTTATTGAACACTCCAACAAAGTTTTCAGTTGCCTTGTAATTCTTGTGTCTCAACAAAGTGCGATTATACTCTTGGAAATATAAAAGTCACTTTCTTATGCATATTTGTTCTAATTGTTTCATTAGAAGAATTGACAGAACCTCAATGAGTGTTGAAAATTAATCCAAATTTTAATTTTTGGTATTATTTGAATAGATTAACATATTTTTATATTGCAATTCTGTGAGTATGCTAAGTGATTAATAATACGTGTCTTCAAAAAAAAGGTGTTATAGATTACCTTTCATCATTTTCCTTATTTATTTTAATGTGTGATTCTATAAAATTTTATAAAATTATTATTTTTTTCATGCTGATAAAAAAAAAAAGGTATTAAATTTTTTCTTATATTCTAACTGAACCGGATTGCTTGTCTATGCCAATAGCCCGTGCCCTGCATAGGCATTTCATACTAGTATATATATATATATATTTCACTTCAGATTATTGTCTATACTTGGTGCTTGAATTTGTTCCTTGGGATCCTATGAGTACGAAGATTAACTCTGTAGTAAAATTGTAATCTCATACTAGATAAGATACTGTTTTTCTTATCGATATGCTATATATTGGAATTGGGATGTTTTTCAGATATCGTTTTATATTTTTTGGTACAAATATTATATATTTATTAAAATTATTGCCCAATACCAATACACTCTTATAAGTTATACAAGTAAATTTCCATGAAAAAGGGGCTAGAGCAGGCCACCGACAAATAGGATAAGGAACCTAGCAGAGCCTTTTACAATTGGAAATGTAACGGTTGACAAAGAAATTATTGTCATACTTAAATTGAAATTGTCGACATATGTAGCCGTTGTGCAAGCTAATGCCATTTGGTGCCGAATAATGCTATATGTATCAATTGGTATACTAACTAGTGTATCAATTAATGATGTGACATAATTTAAGAGGTTGTTGAAATTTGTAATGTGATTAATGAGTGAGGTCAATAATACATCATAACTAGTGTTGGTACACTAGTTAATATACTAATTGGTACATGTAGCACTACCGTTTGGTGCCACCAGAGTGGTATGGAATGTGGATGTTGGCATTTGTGTGTGCGAATTCACAAAGTGGTTTGTTCAATCACTGATACTGAGAGACATTAGAATGATTCCTGATGTCCTACTTTCATCTCCAAATCATTCTCAAGTAAATACATTTAAAAATAAGCAAGCAATGCAAATATCTTATGAAGCTAACCCAACAAGTCTTTTTGTACTCACCTCCAGCCGACAGAGAGAGAAATTGATTCCATATCTATAGAAAAAAAAAGGATACAGTTCTTTGTTTTTTTGGGTTTAACAAGAATAACCTTTCATATTCAAATCAAATCACTTGATCCAAACGGAGCTATTGAAAGTATCTTTAAATATCACTACCTTTTTAGTTTTGTTTAAGTTTGCATCTACTAGTGGGATCACCATACAATTGTTTATACATTTGATATAATCATAAAACTTGATCCCTAAGAACTTAGTTCAAAACAACTAAATCGCTTTTCTAAACTTTCTTGCTAACAATTGTTTCCAAATTTTGTTCACTTTTTTCCCCTCTCCTGCACAATTCTCTTTTCAAATCTTTGATTCAAACAAAATTTAGACATACAACCCAACTAACTGTTTCTAAAGTTGTAAAGCCAAATTAAAAATGTTGTGGAATCCACTGCTTAATTGAAAGTGAAATTGGTTGTACTCTTATATTCTAAATTCCAAGACATGAATTCTATGTCATAGCCTTCAAAACAACACTTCTATTTCCAAATTAAAGGTGTTGTATATATATGTTACATAATTTTGTCAGATTGCCAAGAAATTTACCATGATATAGAATAGATACAATAACAAAAGACAAGCATCCAATCAATCTTAAAATTAGTACCAATTTCAAACAAATACCATCATGGTGCCCAAACTAGCTTCACCCATTAAAGTCAAAACTTGTTTACAAATGAGAGAGAGACCATAACAAGACAAGTCAGTAAAATACATAATCTAAAGATCCAAGTTTAAAACTAAAGCAAAATGAAATCAAAATGCACATTTTTTTTCTTTTAAAAAAACGGTCGCACTTCTTAAAACATCATTTTGCTTCAACTTTAAACTTAACTGTTAGTTAGAAAGATCATTGCAGAAGATCCCAATCCGGGCTTTAATGGTCTTCTGGGATGCTCTCCAGAGCAGGCCTCCAACTGCCATTTGTGCCTTCATCGTCACTCGATCGGATTTGAGAAATCTTTCTGCTTTTCAGCTTCATTTCACCCAACATTTGCTCCACAGAAGAGTATTTAGACTTGGTATTCAAAATCCGAATCAACTCTCTTTGTGTCACCACAACTCTAATCCTCACTGCCCCACCTTTTGAACACCCTTGTCTCTCTTCGCCATTACCATCTTCTTCTTCTTCTTCTTCTTCTTCTTCTTCATGTAGTTTGAACCTCACACTCTTCTTCTTTCCACCATCAACATGCCTCACAGACCTTTCAATTGCTCTTTCTTCTCTTGGTTGCTCATCTTTCTCATCTTGTCCTAAAATCTTGTTACTTGTCACGCAATTTCCCATTATAGAGATGGAAAGAAACAAAGGAGGGGGAGAGAGAGAGAGAGAGAGAGGGAGAGAGATGAAATATAAAGAGGGAGGGGTGGTGGTTTGGGGTGCCTTGAGTTGTGTTTTTTAACACTGCTATTGGGGCCGATATTGATCCAAAACTGACTAAGGTGGCAGTCATGTATTGGCCGATGATGGGCCCCACTATAATCAATCTCCAACAATGTCGCGACACATCAGTCACTTTCGACTTCAAATTTGGATTACCAAAAAAAAAAATACAAAGGGTGGTGTGGTGGGGAGAGCACATGAGTGGCCGGTAATTACGCCGGAAAATGGGACGGAGGAAATGGGAGATACATTTGCTTTGAGACCCAAAACCAATGCATCATTTTTTTAATTGGTATTCATATGAGCTTGTATTTTAGAAAGGGATTCTGACAAAATGCTTATGCTAATGAGCCTGGTCCACAACATATAATTTTATGCCTTGGGTAGTTGCAGATGATCAAAGCAATCTTCTATTCAATTTCTAGCTTTTCATTACTTAAATTGGCTGTATTTGAATTAAAAATGCGAGTAAGAATTTATAGAGAAAAATGAACCTTGTTATCTTTTTCTTCATAAATGATGCTTAAATTTATAATTTAAACAAAGCCTAAATAAATCAATATGTATGGCTAGACTTCTATTAGATAGGCTGTGATGGTGGTTGAAGTTACTTTAGAGTAGAAAGCAATTATTCATTGTCTAAACAATATCACAAATCAATTCAAGTCATTTATTTGTGTGAAACCAATGTCGTATGGGACATGGAATAATTTTTTCGGTAGATGATGCAATCAATATTTTTGATACTGATTTGTGTCCCACCTCACTTCACTGTTACAAACTATTTCATAACTTCATCTAATTTTCATCTCATTTTGTTAAGTTATAATAATCACTCATGCTAGTACTCAATTGGTGCATGTATCACAAATTACATCAATGGTCCTTAAATAACAGATTTTGTGCACTGTAATTCTTAATTTTGGTCAATTTGCTTCTTACAATAAAAATATATGAGTTTGAATGGTCCTAACTCTTATGCCGTCAAATTTGACTAACGTGGGTAAGAAATTTTGGGACTTTACAAAAAAAAATAAAAAAGGGCTACAATTTTTTTTTTTTGGTTACGAGTAGGATTACATTTTTTAATATATCACTTATATTTTAGCCTCTAATAAGGTGAAAGAGAGAGAAAAAATGAGGAGTAAGGAGTGGGGTCAATTCCACATCATTAGAGGTGGATTAGAGGTACTCAAGCCTCGTTTGGGAACAGGCTAATTTAGTAATTTTTTGACTATTTGGCTAAAAAGGTAGGTAAAAATTTTTTGTATGTTTGGGATGACTTTTTGGCTAATTACAAAAAGATGTGCAAAAAGTAGAGAGAAAAGAGAATCTTTGACTTTTTGGTATGGGTTGTTGGCTTTTTGGCTAATTTTGTAACTTTTTGACTAATTGGCTAAAATAGCCTCTTGCCTTCTTACAATAAAAATATATGAGTTTGAATGGCCCTAACTCTTATGCCGTCAAATTTGACTAACGTGGGTAAGAAATTTTGGGACTTTACAAAAAAAAATAAAAAAGGGCTACAATTTCTTTTTTGGTTACGAGTAGGATTACATTTTTTAATATATCACTTATATTTTAATAAGGTGAAAGAGAGAGAAAAAATGAGGAGTAAGGAGTGGGGTCAATTCCACATCATTAGAGGTGGATTAGAGATACTCAATTAGAACTCTCAAGCAGAGTCGGTTCTAACTTTTTCGGGACTCAAAGTGAACTTTCAACATGGGGCCTTTCACCCATATTTAAAAAAAAAAAATTTATGTGTCTAATTTTTTTGGTGGATATTTGATAGTACTCGTGAAAATGTTACCTCCTGTGTACATCTATTAAAATTTATTTAAATATATATTAAAATTTACAATAAGAAAATTGACCAAAATAATTTAAACCGAAGTACCAAATAAAAATTAAATAAACTGTAACAAAAACCACTTAAACATCATTCTTCTCACATTTGTAGCTGTAAAATTACTAATTCTAGTTCGCATAATCCAAATTATAAACTAAATCATTTTCGATGGATAAAATTGCTAATTCATCTAATATAGTTGAGCAAATGTAAGATTTAATCAACTTTAATTTGAAAAGAGAAATTGTAAGTAGTATAGTTAATCGTATTCTATACATAATCTATATATTTAGAAAATAACCATTAAATAATTTCAAACAATGCACGACATCAATAAGTTTTTTAGTTTCTTTCAGTTAAAAATAACTATCTATTAGTTTTAATAATTTACCACATCAATTATCTATTAATTTTAAATCATTATTGAATTTTATTGAGACCCTTTAAATTCTAGTGAGATTTTTTTATTTTATTTTATAAACTAATATAATAGTTAACAAAATTTTGAGTTCGATTTTTTAAATCAATTTTTCAGGGCCCAGAGTGGCGCCCAAAGCCAGTCCTGCTCCCAAGCATTTTTTTTGGGATACTTACGTATAGGTCTTAATAAGTGAATTTATTGTCTAATAGATCTTATGAAAAAAAATTGTCATAAGAAAACGTCACTAATTATAAGTTTTAGTGACTATTTATAAAAATCATGACAAAAAAAAAGTCACTAATTGTCAATTTTTAGCGACATATATAAAAAATTGTTACAAAAAAATTATTTTAGCGACAATTTTACTAAGATTTATTTTCAATAGGACTTGATGAGAATTAAGTCAAACTATTAGGGCCTATTGGTAGTTTATTTTTTATTTTTTATTTTTTATAATATATATTTTGTAGAGATTTCATGTTAAATTCAGAAAATACCCCCAATTCTCGTCAATCAATTTAACTAGGGCAGAGTAAAATTCGTAATCCGATCCAGTCCAGTTCAATTCAGTAGGTTTGGATTGGTTTTTTGAATCTGTGGTTCGGTTCCGGATTAAAGAATTAAAAATTCGTAGTTCACGGATTGGTTCCCGATTGAACCCCACGATTCCGGATTGGAACCGATCCGAACTGTATACAAATAGTCTATATTTTTATTATACACCCTCCTCCATAGTATCTTCTCTTATTTTATATAAAACTTAAATCCAAACCTAAACTCGCATAGTATCTTCTTTTATTACTTTTGTTTGCTAGTTTTTAGCGTTAATTTGTAATGGTCTAAATAGTTATGGTGGAACTAGTTTTCTTATGATTGTTTAAATTCTAGAACAATATGTCGCTATTATGAAAAGACATGTTTTTATTGTGAAACTAATATGGTGTTATATTTATATTTTTATGAAATTAAAGTGTTATATATATTTTTTTTGTTATTTAATTATGTAAATCCGTAGTCCTAAACCGATCCAATCCGTGTTTAAATGGATTGGTTTGGATTGGTTCCACGATTTAAACAGATTGAATTGGTTCTAATTTTTCAAAAACCGTAGATAATGGATTAATCCTGATTTTACCCCAATACAATATAATCCGGACCATACTCACCCATAAATTTGCATAAGCATTAGGAACTATTTAATCACACATGATATTGGGTTAAAAAAAAAAAGAAAAAAAAGAGAAAAAGAAAAGAAAAAACACACACGATATAGTTTGTATATTAAATTGATAAAATTAAAGGCTAAAGTACAATAAAAACATACTTTGACCATTAGTATTAATAATCCATGCTAATTTGCATCCCCACATCTGGTTAAAAAATCAAAAGAGGTGATGAGCAAATATATATTTTTATAGTCTTGGACTCTAATAATAAAAAAATATAAGGTAAATTACATTGACTTCTCTTAATATTTGAAAAAAAAAAATATATTTTAATGATTTTGACAAAACTGTATCGATCAACTTCCTTTTTAGTAAAGCTAATGAGATCGAAATTGATATAAATAGTGTTAAAACACAATTATAAATGAGGGAAAAAAAATACAATTTAGTATATTATTTTTTCATCTACATAACTAATGAATTTTAATGAAAAAAAGGAGTGAGGAATTATGTGATCAAGATTAAGAAATTAAGTTAGAGGAGGCACTTATTAATTACAAATTTTTATTTTAAAAAAAATATGATCAATATTAAGATAATAATAATTTTATGAACTAAATTTAAATATAAGAAATTAAAAATCATTATTAATAGGAACAAACTAAAATTCTATAATAGTGCGTAATAGCTCGGTGCGGGATGGTGATGTAAGTTTTTAATTTTAGCACAAAAAATTCTAGATCAAAATTCATAATTTTAGAAAATAAAAACACATCATTTATAGCACAAATTATTATAAAATATATTTAATTTTTATTTGATAGAAAATATTAAAGAGATGATATTGCTTATAAATGATGTGTTTTGAATGGAAATTATTAAATAGTCTTAGAGTACCATATCGCGTTGCCTATATGTGATTCTCAAAGCATGAAAAATCACAAATTACATTAAGTAATTTGTCAACTATTTGAAAATAATGAGTTAATTGTATTCAACTCATAAGATTTCTCACCACACTATTGGTTTAGACTACTACATAAACAATACCACATAGTGGTCCCAAAGTATCTGTAGGGGGGTTCAAGGTTAGGAAGGTGATTAGAAAGGCAAAACTATGTTGATGATTCAATAATGGTGGAATGACTGGAGGATGAGCTGCAGTAACTGTCGGGGAGGTTGGAGAGTGAGCAGCCGGGTGAGGGTGGAGCAAATAACTCGAGAAGAAGTGTATGGCAATGCACAAATGGGCAGCATCTCCCAAAAATCTCCAAAATTCCTCTGCTTGGACCTTGGGAAATGGGTCATATTTATAGGTTTTTCCTTAGTACCAAGAGGACATCAAGTGGCCAAACAGAGAGAAGACATGTGTCCCTAAGGATCACACAAATATTCTGTCTTGAGCCACCAGGCTGAAGGTGTCACATATCCCTCTGCATGTACCGTGTACTATCTGTTTTCCTTC